GCAAGATGCTAAGAACATACCAGGGAAGTCTGCCTGATAATCAGAAGTGTCATCCATTGAGTCATTTGATGAGGACTTTTGGTTTCCCACTGGAACCTCCAATACTTTCCCAAACACAATTTTTCCTTCTTGGACTCCAGCTGTGGTAGCAAAATTAGCATCTCTCTTTTTCACTTGTATCTGACGTTTCTTCAGTCGAAGGCAGGCCGAAGGCTGCACTAAACAACACACTAGTAAAACAGCCACAGCAATGCAGAGGGCAGAATGATTGTTCCTTCCTGACCCCATTATTTACTGCTGATATTCTATTGTAAAATCCACTGTGTCATTTGAAATTTAACTGAATTGGAAACTGTGAAAGGTGCTTCAGCAGCCAATCAGATCTATTGCTCTTTAATCAGCTGGATAGGTTACACCTGCATGCCTTGTAGTCAGAAGGAATACTTTCTACCAGATTGGTCTATCTGGCATAATCATCATTTAACATTGAGTCCATTCAGCAGCAGATGAGTTTGGCATAAACTGCTTTGTGACTGGCTTTTTGATATTTAAAAACCCCTCAACATGATGCTGAAAGGAGGATTATTGATTAAAGTCAGAAACAAGAACAGCAGGAAAGATGTTCAGATGCATAAAAGATGTTCATACTACAGTAAAAGAAAGGCAAAGATAGAGATCTATTAAGAGAAATATATAGTTAAATATGTAACTTCACAAGAAAATATAGTAAGTCCTTTGTCATTTTATTTTTTCATCAAATTATATTTTTTGATATATAGACCATTGGGTGAGATTTTCAGTTTTTGTTGGTGATTGAGCAGGGTGAAACAGAGGAGGAATTTAGAGTATATCACCAGGATGAAGTTGAAAAATTGTCGTAGAGGCGGTGATTGCAGATTCCAATGCATCATAAATCACTACAATATAATCCTTCAGAGGTGGGAGGCAAATATCCTAATAGAAATCCAGCAAATACACAACAGAATATGAGGGGCCTAATATATTTGCTATGAATATCTGTTCATTATGGTGTCATGAAATGGCAGATAAGACGGCAAAGAAAGCAATTAAAATATTAATGAAACAGAACATGATGGATAAAATGCCAAAATGGAAGAAAGGGAAGAAAAGGTGCTGGTTCTTTAAAATTAATACGAAAAACTGGAGAAATTAGAATAACAGGTAGAATGAGGAGAGGAGAGGAGAGGAGAGGAGAGGAGAGGAGAGGAGGAGTTTTCAGAAAAAGTTCACTTTCATGTACACTTGTTTCAGCATGTTATTTTCCCAATAACTGGATACTTTAATCTAGAAATAAAAATTACAAATTTATCAGTTTGGACTTTTGTTCATAAAAAAATAATGGCATGTCAAAAATTATTGATACTGTTTTTAATCATCAACTTAAATAAAAATTCATAGCTATTAAAAAAGATATCTCTCCTATCCTAGCTTCGCTTCATTGGCTTCCTGTTAAATCCAGATCAAATTTAAAATCTTCTTTTTCCATATAAAAGCCTTCAATAGCCAAGCTCTGTCTTACTGTATATCAGAGGTATGATTGTTCCTTATGTTCCTAACAGAGCACTTCACTCTCAATCTGCAGGTTTACTAGTGGTTCCTAGAATTTCTAAAAGTAGAATGGGAGGCAGATCTTTTAGTTATCAGGCTCCTGTCCTGTGGAACCAACTACCAATTTTAGTCCATGAGGCAGGCACCCTGTCTACTTTTAAGGCTTTGATAAGGCTTATAGTTAGAGGAGCTCACTTTATCCTGAGATATCACTTTAGTTATGCTGCTATAGGCTTAGACCACTGGAGGACATAGGGACCTCTTTTCATCTTCCATTCTGCTGTATTTGTTAGTTCAATCTCTTACACTGTTCTCTCTCGCCTTTTTTCATAGTAGCTTCATCTGGTCTGTTCCTGTTTGGCTGTGACTCCATCCTGGAGAGAAATATCAGCTGTGCTGCTGCCACTAACACCTTTGTTTATAGATAATGGAGCTTGGCCTATTTTTCAGTGTAGTCCTGTTTCTCTGACTGTGATTAACTGGATGTGCTTTCTTTGATCTTCTGACATGGGAGCTGGATCAGAGCTCCTCTGCCTGTTTCCTCCACCTGTGGAGCTGACTGACAGTTGCCTTTTGTATCTCTGCTTCTTTCTGTATGTCTGCTTCTATCTCCTTGAACCCCAGTCAGCCTCGGCAGATGGCTATTCACACTAAGCCTGGTTCTGCTGGAGGTTTCTTCCTGTTAAAGGTTTTTTTTCCCTCTCAACTGTCGCTATAAGCATGATTGGTGTGAGGGATTGCCTTTCAGTCAATGACTCTACAATATGCAATCAGCTGGTTTTCCTTAGATAGAAAACTTTGAACTAATCTGACCGTACGATCTTGTTGAATTGTCTCTGTAAAGATGACGTGTAGTGAATTGGTGTTATATGAATCAACTGAATTAAAATTGAATCAAAGCCTTCCAACTGTGGACCAGCTTTTGGCTTGTGCCATCTGATGTTAATAAAAACTTTACTTGTATTGAACCTTTTGCAAATATCACAATCACAAAGTGCTTCACAAAAGATAAAAGAAAGGCACAAAAGGTTTTAGACGTTATTGTATGTCCATCTTGGATAGCTCAATGTTACCACTGTACCAAACACCAAAATCTGTACCAGACACTGGTGAAAAGAGATTTTTGTTCAATTCTGGATCTTTTGAGGGGAGTATTTGCAATCTGATGTCAGAGGAGGAGGACAAACCAGCAAAGGAAAGAGTTGATTTGCAAGAGGATTGAAAATGGCAATATATTCTCCACCTTCTTAAAAATTGGATTGCGGTCTTCTAGAATTATTTTATTTCTGAGGAAGAATGAAAATGAATCTTGTGGAAAACTAGGAATAATATTAACATATTGTATAGAACACAATCAGGGTCTGAGAACAGGCAGCAATCAACATGTGGCTAATTCCTCATTCTCATAGCCTACAGTATTCCTTTTACCGTACTTTGCAAATTCACTAGACGAAAATGCATCCAACATAATATTATACAGAAGAGCTATATGTGTATATATTTTTATCTCTTTTTATTCTTATTTTTTATCTTTATTATATTGTATAGTTGGATGTGTGTATATATCATGTAAAACTGTAACTGGAGCGTGTAACAAAAGTAATTTCCCTCTGGGATTATTAAAGTATTTCTGATTCTGATTAGCTACCCAAACAGCAGATAGACTTGATTTCTGACTCTCTTGCCCTCCTTGTTTATTGTAATCAGAGTCCAGCTTATTTTGATTTATGCCATCATCAGGTGACCATAAATGATTAAGTGGCTTAATATTAGAAACACAGCATAGCTTAAAATGTGTACTTTGTTTGCTAAACAAGCTGAAACCCGTTGAATGTAAATATTGCCCCCTTGTGGTCACACTGTTTTGCTTGAGTTTTATTCCTTCCCTTTGGTGAGCAGTAGAGTAGCAGAAAAGTATGCTCCGGTGAAAGTAGCTCTACTTGAATATATGTAAATTCAAGTGGAAATGATTTAAGTTATCGAGAGGGATAATAATTTCTCATCTTAATAATGTATTAACCTGAGTAATTCAAACAAGGCTGATCAGTGTCACTCATCTTCAAGGTCTGGGCTGCATACCATTGTTTCTCTGTGGGGTTAAGGTAAAGTAACGTGCTGGGAAATGCACAGATGCAGACATTACTACTATATTTTTAGCAGTTTGTTCAGGTGCCAACTCCTGTTGTAAAATCCAATCAGAATCTCCAGCTCTCCAAGCTTCTGGCTGGATTAGTTGCATCTTCACTCCTCCTCCAGAATCTGGGCCCTTTGAGTCAAAATTGCTACATAATATTTGCTTTCATCCTTAGGGGGTTTAGTACACAAGGTTTACTTTAGAGCAACCATCCCACTTTTTTCCTTCAGATAAACAGTTCCCTAATAGATCCTCTAAACAATTACAATTATTAATTACATATTAGGCATATGTAACGGATCATTTATAAACAAAGTTATATTTAAGTACAGGGCATTTACTATTAAATCATATAAACCATTGTTGGTGCATTTTCTTTTTCTCCACTTTCCTTTATGCTTTTCTGCAGTTGCGAGGGGTGCTGGTGCCTATCTCCAGCTGTCAGTGGGCGAGCGCTAGGTACAGCCAGGACAGGTCGCCACTCTATCGCAGGGCAACAGAGACAAACTGGACAAAACCATTCACGAACGCACGTACGAACGCACACACACACACACACAGAATTTAGAAAAGCCTCGCAATCTTGTTTTTGGATTGTGGGAGGAAACCGGAGTACCCGGAGAGAACCTGAGCATGCACTGGGTTAACATGCAAACTCCATGCAGTAAGACCCCGGTCCAGGAATCGAACCAAGAACATTCTTGCTGTAAGGCAGCAGTGCTGCACTGTAAAGCCCTGGCACAAAATTACTTTTCAATACCTAATTTCTTTTATCTATTGCAACTATTAATTAAGGAATAGAATTTTTTTTTTTCTGCAAAAACAGAAACTGAGTTACTTCAGTAACTTTTTGCTTAAGTAACTAGAGTTCAATTTTGCACTGTTAACTTGTATTTCAAAGTTACCATACTTTTACTTGAATAAATTTTTTGCACTCTTCTCGCCTCTGTTTAGTGCAAAGTTCTATATACCAGTGCTGTTATGCAGAGACATGTCAATCATCTGTAGGGGCCGATCAGATTTCAGGAGCGTCCAGATCCCCCCTGTAGCTCCACCGCTGCATCTTGATTTGGGTTATACAGTCAAAGAATCTGAAGGCTTCCTCAGCACAAACAACAGGAGCAGATGGATGCTCAGTTCTGCTTTCATGTGAACCACTTCCTTATGGACTGACAAGTACACTGCACCAGAAAGGTCCCCCTCCTCCCCCTCCAGTGCTGTATGTTTAGGCAAACCAGCATATGGTATATAAGCCATCTTTAACAATGGATGAATTGGCAGATGAATTACACAGAAATCATTACCATGTTTTATTAATCTCACTCACTTGTTCCAACGTATGTAAATATAAAAATTATTCAGAAATCTTTCCAAGACATGGTTTGAATGGCATTTTCACAACAATAATTACAGATCTTAACTGGTGTATTTTCTACACTGTTAACTAGTTGTCTGCATGGAACACTTAGAATTCTACATATGGCTCATTGGTACAAATAACATTTATTAATTCGTTAAGGTCAATTGTATGCAACAAGTTAAAAGACTACAATAATCAATGTTAGATCTGCTCTTAGTGGACCACTATTCGCCTGGATGAAATCTGCAGTAGTATGGATAGAACAAGAACATAACCGAACGGCCTAAACTGTTGCCACCGATCCCACTCTGGCGTCAGGGGCAGGACGTCTCTACAGAGCATGGTGAAGAGTGATGGGGGCGTCCAGTCTGTGCCAGCAGTCTTCCTGCCTTCAGCGCAGACCTTCATAAACATCACTTCACGGCCCAGAGAGAAGCCCACCTCAAACCTGGAAAGAAACACAGTCGGTGTTGAGCGTTCACATTTAACCTCATAATGCAGAGCAAAAAAAAAAAAAAGGTTTTCAGTAACGTACAAGGAGGGGCTTTTAGCTCCAGCCAGGACTAGAAAAGTAGGGTTAGGAGTGGTGTTGCGTTCTTGTGTTCATTTGAACGTTCATCTTCATCTCGTTGTCCAGGATTTGCACAAGTTGTTGCATGGAGGGCAGGTGACCAGATTCCAGTTTGGACCAAACTGGTACATCTAGAATAAAAACAATTTCTTATAAAATGAATCTGAATTATTTTTTGTTCCCTTATACTTGGAACAGATTCACAGTAACAATTCATAAAGCTTGACTGTGTGTAGATAATGTGGCCTCATTATACACAACTTCATACACCAAACTCAAAACATTCTTCTTATTAAAATGCTCGGTATATCACATTGGAAGAGGATTTAAGGTTTATAAGGTTTTTGAGGATTCCTCCAGGATTGTAGTTTTATATTAAAGAAAAGCTCACCGTTAAATGTGATTTCAAACGCTCCTGTTGACATCATCTGGTTTTCAATCATATTGCTGAAGAAGAACACCATCATGCAGGCATATATCTGACAAAAAGAACAAACACTGGGTTGAAAACTGTCATCAACAGCTACTTTACACATCCTTCTAAAATGATCAGACACAATCTTTCTGAACCTAAGGAAAATGGAGAAAAACACAGCAAAGTCAAACTTGTACAATCAATTCTTGCATAAAAAAATATTCCCTATATATATATATATATATATATATATATATATATATATATATATATATATATATATATATATATTCTCAAATATGTAAACATTTGCAAACTTCTATTTTCTGAAATTTAAGTCATTTTTAGTTTAGTTTAAGTTTATTCAGATATAAAAACTCAAATATTTACATAAACATTGTGACTGAAAGGCTTGGGCCGAGTCAAAGGTTATTAATGTCTGTCTCATTACATTACACTTCATTTATAAACAACAATTCAGTAATAACACAATAAATATATTTTAATTACAATGATAATTCTACCATATAATGGTGAGCACAGCTTTGTGGAAGGTGAGAAAGGAATTACATGACTTATACAGTAAATTAGCAGGCTTCACATTATAGTTTTAGCAAGAAAAATAAATCTCATTTTGATCTCCCTTTTGTAAGGTGAATTTAAATTTATCTCTAAAATAATATTGACTTTCCAGGAGTGATATTTTGCTTTGGATGTTAATGCATTATTCTGCAATACACAAGATCTTTAAATGTCATATTTGAATTGATAGACTGGACTAGTGTGGTCATTAAATCCTGTTTTTATTTAAAATCCATGACTTTATTTCTTTCAAACCAATCTTTTAATTGCCCTGTCTGAATGTCCGCACTAATCACTATATAGGGCACTATATAGCGGTTACACCATTTTAGATTAGTTATACAAAATGGAATTAATCGATTACTAGATTAGTTGATTATTTTATTAATCAATTAACCATTTCAGACCTACTTCAAATATAAACTCATTCTAGATGATTTTTCCCACTGAGGATCATCTAGCTCAGGGATCTGCAACCTTTTCAATTCAAAGAGTCCCTTTATCATGATGGCTACAAAATAAGAGCCACAGTAAAGCTTTTATTAACATAAAAGTTCAGGATCATTAGGATTTTCTATTTTCAGAATTTAATTTACACCATAAACATGAGGGATAAAAAAAAAAAAATAGCCCACCTTAATATTTAAGCAACAGTTAAAGCTAAAAAAGAAACATTAACTTGCTTTATAAAGCCACTTTCCTCTGTTGTTTTGCGTTTGTAGATATTCTGTACTGATATTGCATGAAAACAAGAGAAGTCTTTGTTATCGTCTTCATTTTTTGTTATCGGCCTCAGTAAAGGGGCCAAAGACCCACATGCAGCTCTGGAGCCACGGGCTGCAGACCCCTCACCAAGCCCCACTAAAATGATGTTGAGGAGAAACTTTACCTAACAGAATCAATATGAATTAAAGTGTTGAAGGCGTCCCATGTTTGCATACATCTAGTTGGCTGACTTAATCCCTGCAATGAAGGCTCTCCTCAGTGGTTGATGGGATTAGTGCCGATGCTCTAATACTATAATTGAATCCACATCAGTTTTCTCTAACTGCAGATTCATCAGTTGCTATAATGCTAGCCATTTTATCTTACATCCGAATGTCCTACAAAAACATGACAGCTTTTATCTCTAATACAGAGCAAACATTGTGACTAATGCTGAAAACTGTGATGCCTTCCTTACTCCCCGAGTGGGAAGTCGACCACCAAGGAAAAAGTCCAAGTTAAAGAGATCTTTATAGACGAGCAGAGCTCTGCTAGGGAGGATATGATTAAATCCTGAGAGCCGAGTCAAACACTGGCATCTACCCAACTTATCAGAGTAGGAACTTTAAAATAAAAACAAAGAAATGCAGAAAGTCTCACCTTATTTTGCTGACCCCACTCCCAGATTCCTGGGGCTTGAATACCAAAGAGGGCGAATGGATCCCTGCCGATTATAATCAGCCCGATCACCAGTAGTTTGAACATAGACAGGAAGGAAGCAATGTGTCTGAGGAAATGAGAGAAACTCATCAGAAATAGAAACTCATGGACGTGGACAAGTTGAAGCCTAAATAAAAGGTGAAAAGAAGAAAGATGAACACTCTTCTTTTCCTCTTAATGTCCCTGATGCTTTTAGTTCCTACATTTATCTGCTCTGCCTGAGACAGAAACTTCTAAACAATAGTGTTGCTGTTGTACCATGGCCATGTGGTTATCTGAGGCCTACTGCACACGGACTGAGGAGCTTCCAGCCCTGAACTTGGCACATATATTACTGCTCACAGCTCCCAAAAAACAACCCTGGTTACAGCAGGATATATGTCAAAAGTCAATTATTCCTTTATTGTTCTATATATGCCCTTTTCATGTCATGAGAGTTCTATTAAAAGCACTAATAAAACATTAGTTTCGATCCATTTCAAATGAAATTATATTTGCATTGTGAATGCATAGAGTAATACTATCTTCTAGTAAAAAAAAAAAAAAAGATAAATCATGACTTAAACTGTACATTAGCAGGCTTCACATTATAGCTTTAGCAAGAAAAATAAATCTCATTCCGATTTCCCTTTTGTAAGGTGAAATTACACTTATCTCTAAAAAAAATATTGAATAAAATAATATTGACTTTCCAGGAGTGATATTTTGCTTTGGACGTTAATGCATTATTCTGCAATACACAAGATCTTTAAAATGTCATATTTGAATTGACAGACTGGATTAGTGTGGTCATTAAATCCTGTTTTTATTTAAAATCCATGACTTTATTTCTTTCAAACCAATCTTTTAATTGCCCTGTCTGAATGTCCGCACTAATCACTATATAGGGCACTATATAGCGGTTACACCATTTTAGATGAGTTACAAAATGGAATTAATCGATTACTAGATTAGTTGAAGATTATTTCATTCAAACCAATCTTTTAATTGTTGGCTGTGTCCAAATGTCTGCCCTAATCACTATAAAGGGAACTATATAGTGGTTATACCATTTCAGATGAGACATACCAAAACGTAATTTCGTTTTGTTCAGCTTTCATGACATTTTCATTTCTTAAAGTGCAGAAGTGATCAAATGTAAACAGTGTAGGAGAAAAAACATGGTGCAAAAACACCGCATTGATATGGAAGTTCAGATCCCTTAAGCCTCCAGTTTCGGCCGAAACTGGAGGCTTAAGAGATGACTAAAAGCTGCACTCAAAAATTGGTGCAACTCCAATCACATACATCTAACATTCTTAAGTAGAACAGGTAAAACCTAAAAAAAAAGACTTATCAGAAGGAAAATCATATTCTGGGTGACATGAGTTAGACGCCAACTTTACAAGAGCTCAAAGAAATGATGTCTGGGGAATTTGAAGCATGTGATGAGACACAGCCTCCTCTCCTAAATCTCGCCATCTCTTGTGTGCTCATTAAGTCAACTAGAAGAAGCCCCAGGATGCAAAAGCACATATTGTCAGATTCTACTGGGACTGAGGTTTCAGTGTTTGTGGACTGTGACTTTCTTTACCGCCTCTTGTTTATGGCTTCTATAAAAAGCTTTGAGTTGCTCTGCTTGGGTCGGTGTAAAAAATATTCTTTTTAGACAGCTTAGGACTGATTCATGAATGTGAGCGGGTTACCACACCAAAAAAGAGATTCCGAAAGTTTCCTTAAAAAATGCACAAGAAGAAAATACTGAATCGAACTTTACAATAAAATCTATTTAGTCATCAGAGACACCGAGAAGTTCATTTATATCCATAATTCGCCTTTTCCGGGTCCTGCCCCCCTTAGATACTGTTGCTACATCCAACAAAACAAATGGTCAAATATGACCAGCGCGACAGATTGCCATGACGTGAAGAGGTTTAGCTGTGCGTGATCATTTTAGACCAATACCTCCAGTTTGAGGCAAAAATGTTTACAATATGCAGTGGAAGGATATATTTACAATATATAATATCCGCAACGTAGGAGACATGACTACTATTGAGGCTATTGCTTACCAGTGTCAAGCAAAATCTGAAAAACCCATGACTTGTACCTAAAATGTAACCAGCACACCCTTATGGACCAGTCATGCTCTTTGCACGGTCAGACAAGTTTTCTTTCAATTTATATAGTCTATTATTGTCAACTATGATTAGCTCTTTTGTTATAATATGCATGTATGCTAGCTACCCCTACATGGGCTGCAAAGCCATTCAAACGTAACACGTATTTATGCTTCGTTATTTTTGACACATTTAACCGCGAGTCTGGCTGCCACACTGCTTAAGCAATTGGAGGCACCGCTCACCTCCAGACAACCACTCAAGGTAGCTAGTATCGGCGTGGGCGCACTGCCTCACCATCTTGCTTGGAGTTGATGTTTGTTGGACCTGCTCACACAGTAAGGGTTGGTAAGATGTGCGGTCAGACATAGGCTGTTTTTATGGGAGGAGCCGGCAAGAGGTCCATTGAATTCGAATGTAGAATATTAAATTCATTAAAAGCATTTTTTATGTTCACTTAGGTTACAGCTTCTCTTACAGCTACTGAAATCCAAAAAGAAAAGAATATTATAAAAACTGAGGATTAAGATGTAAGATAATCTGAAAAAAGTGTAAAGCTAAATCTATCCAGGAGTTTGGAGAATATTCACCAGGTGTGGATCGATCCTAGAGCTTACAGAGCCAAACACACCCATCTAGATATGATGTCTAAAGGAAATTGCTTAGGATAAGAAAAAATAGAAAACTGGCGTTGACTGACCAGCAATCTCAGCCATCCTTCAGTCATCAAAACGATGATGAGACACCAAACTCAATGCAGGTCCAACGTTACAGTAACCTGAGCCGCTTTAACATCTCAGCCGTGTCGGACTGATCACCTCCACACCACATTGGGTTGGTAACAGATTCCAAATCTTTCTATTGTAGTGTGCCTGATCCTAAAGTGAAGGCATTTAACTGTCTGTCACACATACAAATGAGCATCCAAGAGAATCTTAGTTTGTTTAGTAAATTACTGCTAATCCTAAACTGGACTTAATCCACTTAGACCCCGGCAGACAATGGTTGACTCTTACCGATAGATGGGTACAGGAAGGTAGTTCTCCCCTTCGATGCGGATGTCTGGGTACCGCTGGTACAAGGCCTGCGTGTACTCCTCAAACACCCGCTTGTACCCTCAGGATATGCTGCAGGAGGAGAGGGGAACAGGTCGTTCAACTTTAAGGACAAAATCTTTTAATAGCCAAAACAACATGTATCAACATTTTCTGAAATGCATCTTCAGTTTGTGAAGGATGCTTCATCTCCTGTATATCAGAGCAAGGAAACGAGGCGCTGTTGTCCTTATTTGTTTCAAATTAAGACGTTAAGATTTGGGTAATAGTGGTGATGATAGCAGAGGTTATTAAAAACCAAATACATTTAGTTGGATGTTAGAAAATGAGTTTTTTTTTCTTTCAAAAATCACTGTAAACCTTGGACACATAAGGCAATGCTAAAAAAAAGACCTCAGATGGTTTTGATTCTCAGTACAAAACTAGTAAAAACTGGACAGTAAGGCTCAGGTTGTCCAGTCTAAAACTGTCTATAGTAATCCCAATACACGAGGCCCAAGAATTATCCATAATTCTAGTCCTTTTTCTATAAATGTAACACTCAAGATTGCAGGTAAAAAAGAGCAATGTGATACGGATACCCTTTACTATGTTCCAAATGAGTAGGGGTATGGAAAAAAAAAACAAAAACAAAACAAAAGTAAAATCGATTAGACGTTATATTGTGATTTTCGCTGCCTGATATAATATTGATCTTTCAGTTCCTCATATTGATTTTTTAAAAACTAAACATTTAAAACTATGAGGAAAAATGGGCTAACTCTTCACATCCACTCTGGCAGACAGAACTTGGAGCCATTTCACTGTGCCGTACAGCGCCATGCCTGTATTTAAGGCAATCACAGTGGAAGATTTAGACTGACTGAAACCCCAAACAACATCAATACCAGAATAACTACAATCAATATCTTCTGAAGAACATATATAACACTTGCTTTTCTTAATTGATACATTTAATTTTGATTGCTAGAAAAAATATTGCAGTATATAGAGATATTGGAATATCATCATAATATCGTATTGTGACCCAAGTATCATAATTCGTTGATGTGAATGCTCCAATTCATACTTGAATGTCTCATTAGATAATAACAAAAATGTATTGAAATTGATTAATTGATTAATTATTAAACTTAAATTAATTATTAAGTTTTAATAATAGTTATAATAATTTACATAAAAGTTCCTGCGCTGTTCGGCGTATATGACGTCATGTGCATCCTTAAATGTGTCCGACCAGCAAACAGTCGAAGTGTTATATTCAAGATGGATGTCACTACACGATCCGTCCCAGTAGCACGATCCATTCTACGCATGCATCAGCTCACTTATTTCATCGGCTCCTCGATTTTATATTGTTAAAAATACCTATATTTTCCCTCCCCAAAAATAGTAAATGTACTAAAATATAATGCATTTCCTGAGAAAATAAATGCCTTAAAATCCTGTTTTATCACTCGTATCTTGCACGATCTGCACCGGAAATGGGATCCTACGCTACTTCCGTTGGCTGACTTTTTCATTTAAACACAAATCTAGTTTTCTTGAGTTTTATGTTTTCGTTTTGTTTTAACTTTAAGCTATATAGTGCGCAACCTAAAGAAAGAAAGAAACGACTAAAATGCAGAAAACATGGTTTAATCATATTGCTTTGAGCATGTCTGATGATGACATCAGAGAAGCAGTTTAACCAAGAAAATGTAAAAAGCTTAAAATTGTCTCACAAAAGTCATGGAACATTTTTAAGCGTATTAGCATTATTTAGTGAGTTAAGGATAGAAATAAGTAATTTTAGTACCATTATTACAAAATTTATGCACACCGGGATTAGGGGTGTAAATAATAATCGTTTTGTATCGATGCGTCGATCAAACAGCTGACGATCCGATGCATCGACACATCCGCAAGAGTATCGATTCATGTTTATTTTTATCCATTTGCTCCTGGACATAATTCTGCCCTCCTACCTCGCTTCCTTTAGCCACTACCTTCTTTGCGCTTGCACACACACACTCACGTAAATACAGAGGCTTTATTATTTTTCAGTGAATGAGGTTTTCATAAGCCTAAGTGCTACTTCTGTTATTTACTGTTGTTTCTAAAAAAAAAAAAAAAATGTATAACGATATTACAACTGCAGTTCTGTGTTTTGGCCACAGGTGGCAGTATCAGTAGAAAACTCTGTAATGCCTTTTTAAATTTACCTTCAAATTTACGAGTAACATCAACATATTTAACGAGTTAAGTAATTCCTACTACAACTACTAATAACTAAAAATAACCACTTATTACATGCTGAGAAAATTTAGGGTTTAACTGGCTTACCAAGCTATGCCGTTCTAGTGTTAAAATTTAATTATACAATTTAATGTTTAACTTAACACACCTGTCTTTTTTTTTTTTTTTAGCAGTTTTGCTTCGATGTTTGAGGAGGATTAATAAAACATTTGAATTTTCAGATAACTCCACTCTCAGATTAGGTCGTCTGTACCTTACATAAAGGCATGTTTACCTAATCCACAGAAACTGGGCGGCTCTAGGAGGATTTAACGTTTCACCGCGGAAGTGAAGCCATGATACCGATGTATGCGGGAGCTGTCAAAATGTTAGTTTCACAATTAGCTTCGATATTTCTCCATGAACAGTCTGTAAAAAAAAACTTCTGCATTTTGTACACAAACGCGCTGAAATATCTTATTTGTGTTTGTACTGCAATGTTAGGCAGGGAGTTGTTTTTTTTTTTCTTTTTAAGCTAGCCTTCGATGACTCGCCAGATTTCTTTTCTGCTCGTTTCCTTACCAGATCTGAAATTTTAGCAGGGGTCCGGTAGCAAACTGCATCTTCATCTTCTTGATGCCGCTGCTGTCGCCGGCCGTAGAGCAGCAGAGCGAGAAAACCCCCAAAACGAGAAGCGAAAAGCGTAGCCACATCATGGCCATCCGGTCCACCGTTTCTTTCCCCCTGGTTAATCCGTAATCTTCCCTTTTATTCTTACTCGAGACCTTGAATACAATTCCTACACCGTTATAGCGCCCCCTACTGTTCTGGGTGCCATTCAGTTTGTACGGTCCCTGGAGGGAGCGCATGGCTGCATTTTTTTTTAATCCAAGACCTTTTAATGAAGTATTGAAAGTATTCGTGGTTTGAATTAATGTTTGACTACATGAATTTTACCCCGGAAGCCGTTATGATGTATTTTATGTTAACATAGATGCAGCTGAGAAAATGTGATCTCAAAAGCAAATATATACCAAGCTGGTCACAAAAAAAATCTGTTTATCCTTTTTCAGTCAAAATTGCTGATTTGATCCTAATCATGTCTGATATATTTGGGTTTGAAATTGTAGATTTAATCATAAACAAAATGTATTGTACCATTTAAAGTTTAGTTAATGTTTAAAACATGTTTTCTTAAATGAGTACAGGTAAAGACTAATACAAAATTATACAAGCCTCGAGTCGTCCTTAATATTTTATTTTATAAGGACACAAGCACTGAAAAAATAAGCGGAAACTACAATGTTTATGTTCATGCCCTCATCTTTTTAGGTAATTTACATTTAACTACAAACATCTTTAAACACATACCACTGGTTTGTTCTCTAAAGCAAGTTTTTTTTAAAACTGCTTTGCTTATTTGCATTTTCTTGTGAAAGAAGACATGTACATAATAACCCAAGTTCACATAACTTTAAGAGTGGAAAGGCAAAACTATTGTTCAAGAATAGAAAAAGCAAATTTTGAGCATTTGAGGAAAGGAGGGTGCTCCAATACTGGGATCACTTTTCTATTAATCAGACTGTGCCATATTCATCACAATTTGTTCAATATCAGTATAAAAGCATTTTATTCAATGAAAAAAATTTTTGAAAGTGGAAAATACTCATAAAAAATAATGCATTTTTGGTCATTGTAACTGACAGACACCAATTATACAAAAACACCTAACCGCTAAATCATGATATAGAGTGGGGATTATATAGTGAACTTTATAGTAGTATATACACAGCTGACCACTAGAGCTCAGCTATGTCCTTAAAAAACTTCTCTGTATTTTTTGCTTCTATTGTGAGAAAAGGCGGAATTTTTGTGTGTCCTGTTTTTCAAATAAATCTCTGGGAATAGCTTTGCTTAGAAAAGCAGATCATTACAGCTGTTGCCATAAGGTTCCACTTGATACTTGTATATGAAACTATTGAAAATTAATTGGGATGTAAAATTGGACACGGAGAAGGAAAGTGAGGTGAGAAAGAAAGAGGGAATAAGAACAAAAGGGAAATAAAGAAATCGAGACAGTAAAGAGTTCATAAAAAATTAAAAACATAAAAAAATAGACACACAAGATGTAGAGAAACACTGATAAGCATGCTTCCAAACCTGTATGAGATGAAAGGGACACAAAACAGAGCATAACAGCAAAAGGGAGACCAACAACAAAAGTAAACATCAAGAGAAGCTTCCAGAGCAGCAGGTATCCCTTAGATATCCATGTGTTTGAAAGGCAAAACTTATTGTGCAATATTTTTCATAAATCTGTAGCTGTAGTGTAGTATTTAGTGTGTATGCAGAACCTAATTCCTTTGGCACGTATGCATGGGCATGCTCATTTATAAAGGAATTACAAAGCTCCTTCAGATGGAACATATGCTTTTTAACAGGTGCGGGCAGCCCCAGAGGAAACCACCAGAGAAGGGCAGATGAGGGCACCCGGGGCCCAACCCCTCAAGCCTATAAAGACGATGTTCCACAGGGCTGCGGGCGATAACGCCCAATGTGGAACCGGATGGGAGGCCTAGAGTTCGAACCCATAGAGATGTGAATTCATGCAATAGCAATCCCCATAATCACAAACAATACTAAAAATACATATTTTAATGGGCTTCTTCAGGACACATTTTACATAAAGTGTAATTTATAATCATTAAAAATAATTCACATTTTACACATTTATCACCAATTTAAATTTATTAGGTGATAAATTCAAACTGTTATCAAGACTAAAAAAATGACCAATATAAACTATAAACAATGCCCACCAAATAAAAAATTAAAATCCTCAATGGTTTTGCAAGGAGACGTCTTGCAGAGAATTCTGGGAGAAACATGATGACAACTGATGTACACCATTATTCAAGATGCATTGTGGGAAATCTTTGATGCATTTTTTCCATCCACTAGACATTCAGACACCCCTACAAAATGCAATAACCCTGATGTAGTGCTCCATATGGGTGTTGGGCGCCCAGTCGGACACATGCCTTAACATCAATAATGCAAGTGCAATGTTAGAGGAAACAAGGTGATTTATCTTATATCAATTCAAATTAGCTCCCCCACCCAACCTTACAACTTGGATTTAATCTAAGCTTTACTCAGATTTTTGGTTGAAAGAAAAAAATAAAAGTATATATATAGTAAGCACTTTAATCATAGTAGCAAACATGCCATAGGAAGGGGTTTACAAGAAAGAGTTTAAATGCTGCCATGATATATTTCAGCAGATGCAAGAGTGAGCAACCCAGATATGAAAGCTTTAGTTCTCAGTGAGGTCACAGGTTTGAAATCTCGGCCCATTGACCTTTGCCACATGCCCTCAACCCCAAAAGAGGAAAAATAAATGAAATAAAAGTATGATTCCTTTTATTCAAAAACTTACATAGGACAACAAAAATGGTTAAGAAACTGTTTTTTTCCCCCCTCTGATGGATTGTCAGTGGTTTAGCCTCGCCGTGCGCCCCTTTTCCACAGCTGACTGCAGAGCCATGACAGCGTCTGCAAACAAATACAACAGGGTCTCCATAACTAAAATATTCTGTGCTTCAAACACTGAAAATATTGGTCATAAAGGTAAATAGAATAAAATCAATAACATCACAAGGGAAACATGTAGTCAAATGCAACACAAACCCAGCATCTTCCGGGAATGATCCACCAGAGCAGGAAGTCTGTCCTCAATGTTGTAGGAGATTTGGCCCATTTCAATATAGAGTTCACTTGACCTCTAAAGAATGACAATTGTTTAGTTTCCCCCCATAGGAAGACACTTAAAAAATATATAAAAAAAAAAAATAAGTACACAAACCACCTTTAGCTCTTCATAGACTTTCTCCTCCAATTCTGCTACCTGTGATATGACATCAAGCACTGTGAACTCTGCAGAAGTTTCCTGTTCACATGCAACAGATGTTAAAACACTTAGAAATACCTCATTAAGATAAGAACTTTCATTGCTGTGAGACACCTCCTCTGATGAACTGTCTATTGGCTCCTTTTCTTTCTCTGCTTCAATAGCTTTGGGATTGCCATTCAGCTCCTTCACTCTGCAAAAGAACCAGACATGTTTCAAGCAGTCATGTCTCACCACAAGCTTTAAAACCTCATACACCCGATACAATCCTTGACAAAAAGCTAGAAGTTTTTCTTCAGTTTAAAATTGCTTCTGGCAATATGCAAATCCTGCTCTTAAATAATGTTAGGTTTTATTTTATTTAAAAAGCAAAAAAGAAACTAAAGCAATTCCTGTTAGTCTAAAAAATAAATGGAAAAATTGAAAGGAGGGATAGGAGAAATGAAGCAAACAAGAAAAGAAGTGCAAATAAAAGCTGTGACAACTAGTCAGGAAAAGAAAAGAAGGAATAACAACATAGGACACAAAAGTATGAGCAGAAGATGGGAGGAAAGTAACAGAAATCGATCGACTCACAGAAGAACTTTCTTAAAATGAGTGGAAGGACCAGAAGGGGTAACAAAAGAAAAGAGACAAAGATGGATGCAAGAGAAGCTCAAACTAGAAAGAAGGAAAGTATGCAAAGAAAGAAATGTGTTCAAAGAAATATTTGTCCAACCCAGATAATTACCAGAACCAAATTCAAGAAGTTTCTGCACTACACAAGAACTATTTTTAATGAACATAAAAGTGCTTTCTGGGCATTTTCAGATGTTGAACTTCACACTGTCTGTACCTGTCTGCATAGCGAAGAGTATTCATTGTATATTCACAAGAAGCCATGCCTGGGGACACCATTGCAATCTGAATAAGAGGGTGGAACATAGCTTTGTGTCAGAATACATCATCATATGTCATTCTAGATTATAAATTTGTACACAATCCAAGCATAAAGCTAAGAGAAATTGAGGAGTTTGTTTCTTTACCATGCAGGTTCTGGAGCTTTCTCCAATGAATGAATCCCTGAGTACTTTGGTCAAAGTACTCATTCGAAAGGGAATGTGATCACTGTTCTTCCCAAGAGAACGAATACACTCCTACAAATCACACAGGATGGTTAGTCTTCCTGGGTCATGGTTTAAGAGAAAGGCTCTCTGAGCAGCCTCAGTGTTTACCTTTAGAGCCAAAAGGCTACGGTTGATCTCTGCAGTCTCAACCAAAGTGCCGCGATCGTTGCTGCTGACATCCGTGCCACGTTCGTTGCCTGCCAAATCGACCAGTGAGAATTTGCCGTGCAGAGTGGAAGCACGGTCATTACGTCGCAGCACAATCTGGAGGATGGCGTGGGAGCGAGAGGAGTTGGGGTTGGCTGACGTCTGTCCCGATGTTCTGGACAGATAGTTAATGAGGAAGAATAATTTTATTTAAAACCATCCAAACAGCAAATCTTAATGAATAGTCACAGAAAACCTAGAATCTGACTTCACCTCAATTTCGTAATTTAAAGCAGCAATAGGTAAATTTCAAGTTGCGCTCCCTCTACAGGACATTTTAAAAATAGCACTGCTGTAAACACAGACTGTCCTCAGCGGGGTATAGTGCTGGAAGACATACAGCATGATAAAATGTCTGAAGAGGCAGGTAGTGCTGTACATCAAGACTAATATTTATTTGAAAGTAATATATAACGTGATTTATTGGATAAGTAAATTATAAATGGATCAGTTGCATTTCCTGCACATGCCTTTATTTCTGACAGAAATAAAGCAGTAAACTAGTGCAAAGCATTCTTTGCTGTAAATTAGGGCTATCACGGTAAATTT